ATACATGAACCTGACATTCCGAAAGATAATCATGGCATCTTGCCATCACAGCTGGCAAGGGACATTAGCGCATTCACGTTGGACGTCATCGAGTGTTCTCATGTTTCATAATTTATATCCGAAGTTACAATGTCATTCAAGACCACCCTTGGCACCACTTGGTAAAGGTTCCGAGGGCCTTTCAGGGTAGGTATTGTTGTAGGTAGTAATCCCCCTGAAAGCCTACCTCCACAGGGAGGCCTCCCCTGAGATCCCATTCAGGATCAAAGTGTTTCCATCGAGCCTCCGCTGAGGAGGTTCCCAATCCTCTGCGACTCCGATCAAAGTGTTTTCCATCAAGCCTCCGGTGAGGAGGTTCCCAATCCTCTGCGACTACACTCCTTCTCGCACCTCGTGAGCTGTTTCCGTCGCTTCTTCTATTAGTACTAGTAGTCTGCCGTTGTTCCAATCAACCTCGCGAGGAGCTGCGACTCGGGGCAGGCATGTTCCCGCTCCTTTTCGCAGATCTCGAGTAAGGAACGGGAAGGTCTGAGTACAAGTCGAGGACACTCAATCGACCTCTCGAGCAGCTGTGGCACAAACTTTGTATTTAATGCTACGAGATACTGAACAATGCAAGATATGGACAGGCAAATCATGGGGGGACAACAACGTGCACAGATTACAAAATATCAACACTGCAGGATGAACATGCACGGTAGGAAGGACTCCAAGAGAACAAGAAACAGACGGTGTGAGATGAACAGTGCTAAGAACGAGACACCAAGATCACTAATGCAGCAACAATCAATAACGTGGAGGACCGCTCATGTAACCATCCTCAGAAGGAGCCGGAGACGATGAGTAAGGTAGGTTAAGGTCATTGTCAGCATAGATAGGGTAATGAGGGTTGCGATATCCTTGATACGTACGGACTTGGTGAGAAGCAGGTGCACGAAATGCTCCAGTGCCTTGCTCGTGGGATTCCGAACGCGCAGGATAGGGATGGGGTGGAGGATATGTGTACATGGTGTTGCCAGTGCGAGGATCTATGGGATATTGGGGCTGATGAGCTACGTTGACACCAGGCACACAATTCACAGTAGGCATGGGACTTGGACGTTGAGTCACGGGCTGATAATTTGCTGTAGAAAGTGGGTGCAGAGGCTGTTGAATCTGAGGGGATGGAGACGAGGGCGCCAGCGAAGGCACTCGCAAATGGTCACTGGCCTGCAATTCTTCATCTTCCGCCTGCCCCCTCAAAGGTGAGTCCCATCTAGTACGTCTGGGGCCTCTGATTCCCCCTTGCGGCGCCTCCTGGGAGGCCTTGCGACCTCCTTGTGGCACTTTCTTGGAGGTGTTGGAGCCTTCTGGTACCTGCAGTTGGCGCTTGCCTTCTGAGTATATCATTGTCTGGCGTGCCGCTTCGGATGATCCTGGAACAATTTTTTTGGGCTTTGGAAATCCTAAGAAATAGTTAGAGCTGCTCCACATAGTTATACCTATATAATACTTACCATGTTGAGTGCGTGGTTGCAACGAGTCCTCTGGGTCATTGCGAAGGTGTAACGGCTCGCGTCCTGGAGCTGAAGGGAGAGTTATCAGTATGAACATGTCATGCGGTGTAAACTTGAAGGACTTTGCTTACCAGTCGTTTTCTCCTCTTCAGAGTCTGGTTCAGCTGTGACTGAGAGATAGCGACGCACTTTCTTTGCGGTCTTCTTCTCTTTGGGGGCGTCCTGGTTGGTAGCTTTTCCCTTGCCCTTGATAATTTTTCTCCCGTCATGCCGTGGTTGGACTTCAACGTCACCTGATGGAGTACGTCGTTTGCGGGAGTAGGAGCCTCTAGTTCCCTTCACCTTGCGTTTACGAGGGGCGGAATCATGATCATCATACTCTGACTCGGAGTCTTCAGCCTCAAAGGGGTCCTTGAACTCATCCTCAGCATCCGACTCTGAGCTGGCATGTGTATCACTGGGCACGTCAATGGGAATGTCCTCGCGTACTGGTGGTGTGGATTTCCGGCTGAGTGGACGTGGAGGAGGACGACGGAGCTCAACCACCGGAACAAGCTTCTGCTTGCGCGGAGGTGGAGGTGGAGACTTTTCATCAGTGAGGATGGGGGATGCACGACGGCGGGAAGTTGCTTCTTTGCGCGTTGAGGGCTTTCCCTTCTTGATATTCGTGTTCGCTGCACTTGGCTCAAGACGAGGAAGTCCCTCGCGATCAATTGTGCCATCTACAAGCATACGCCGGCCGTAATTGTGCATAGAGTCTGGTGGAGGGGCTTCGCCAAACACAATGGGAGATGTCTTATCTACAGAAAAATTAGCCATGCTAACTAGAAATTAATAATATATACGAACTCAAGGCTCCATCCTTTTGTTTTTCGATGGTCAAGCGGCCCGATCGTAATGCATCTGCAAGCACTACCTGCTCCCGTTTGTCGAGGTCGCTGACACCCTTGGGTCGTGCTACCATGACACGTGGCTCTCCCGGCATCAATGTGTCTTCAGGATAACCTTTCATAACATAGTGGTGGCGCGCCAGCTCACTTGGCAGCAGTTTCCAGGGGAAAGTGCCTGACCGAAACTTCCCACCAAGGTTGGCTTCAAACACGTAAGTAATGAGAGGGTGAGCCAGGGATAAACAAACTTACTAAACAGCAATGTTATTCCCGCTTTGATGCATTGGATGTTGTCCAGCGTTCGCCAGTCAACACCCTTGGGAACCTCCTGTACTTCTGCATCGTCTTGTGTTGTCTCTGGGGCATGCACACGCCTAGACGAGGACATCCGCACTTGTGAAGGCTTCACTTCACTTGACGAGGCTTTGCCATATGCATCCTCAACAACAGTGAGGGATGCCAGGTGACTAGCAAAATTTTATTAGAACACCGGTCAGTGTTCAACGGAAAATTGACTTACTACACATGTGATTTGAAATGGCCGATCATTGTGTCGTCATCGGCACGACAACGTGTCGCCCAAAACTAAAGGAGCAAGAACATTAGTCTACAACATGAAGATCCACAGATCTACTTACCTCCTCTGCACCGGGGGTCGTGTGTATGTAACCAATTGATGCATCTTGATTTACCACCTTACCACACATGAGTAGTGCTGCCTCGAAACCATGCCTTGCAGTAGCGGAATCCAACTAGAGATTTTATCAGCACAAGAAAGATTGCGTGATGCAAATCATACCAAGTTGGTAACCTTCTTTGATAACTTCGCAAATTCTTGTGACCGCTGCGCTACAGTCAGAGGCGGCCCTGAAGAGGTCTGCACCTCCTCGAATGTTTCAAGGATGCTTTGCCACCTCTCAGGATACGCGTCCTGGAAGAGTTTGTAGCATTCTCGTTGGACCGTAGACGTAACTATGACAAGCGTGAATAAGATTTGATGGAGTTGACAAGATAAAGACTTACTGATCAAGTCACCTTCCCTGCCAGATCGTTTAAGCTCCTGCAGGCGGTTCAATTTGAAGTATTGACCGTAGATATTCCAGTGGTTTATCGCATTTTGGATCCGACCACGAGACTTCAAAAACAGATTCAGAACTTGCTGGGCAGGAATGCTGGTTGTGGAGACAAGATCATTGATGGCGCTATCAATTAATTCAAACTGCTTCTCCATGGCGGCGTTCGTCTCGTCTGACCTCCGGCCAACAAGAGCAGTGCCCAAAGACTCTCCCTCGCCATTCATTGTGTGGTCTATCATCGGGGCAGCATTGCCAGGGGTGGGAGGGATGATGCGAGTGACAGGAACGTTGAGGCCAGGTGGCGTTGGGACATGGGAAGATGGTGGGTAGCTGATGTGCGGTGCTGAATGGACAACCGGCTGCATGACGTCAAATGAGCCAGAGTCCCATGATGAGCCATGACCATCAAGCGACGAGAAGTTGAATTGATCGTGAATAATTGGACGAAGTGCCCCATTGTGGATGGGCGGGTGTTGACTGCCAATCGGCGTTAGAACCTCTTCGGCGAGGGGTGGCTGTGAAAGAATCATATGATCAGGTGCCTCCGACGTGAAGATTTTGGAATGCTCCGTGTCATCCTGCTGTCCTTGCACAGTGGCAAGGGGAGGTTGTGGAAGAATAGTATCACAGGGTGCTGTGAGGGCTTCTTGTAGCAGGTGAGGGTTGCAATATTCCACAGGCGACCTCTCGCATGACACACTCCGTCTAGAAAATCCCAAGGAGTTGCCTGAAGGTACCCCAAGCGCCTCCAGCTGACCTTGGGATGGACCACCAAAGAAGGGCTCTGGGTATGAAATTGGCGCGCCATCTGATGCATGGACATCATGGTCATTGTCCAGGAGTAGCTTCGCTCGATTGTGCGTGCTTTTCCGAACAAGACCAGAGTCGCGCAATGTGGGTTTGATGCGAGTGCGAAGTTTGGTAGGAGTCTGGATGGGGGGCGGTGATTTTTCGCGGCCTCCTCCGAATTGCTCAGAGGGCGTTGAGGGACGTGAAAAAGGATCTGCAGGGTAGTAAGTTCTGTTCATTGCTAAGTAAAAAACATGGTCAGATAAAAGCATACTGTCGTCAGGCAAACTTACTTGGGAGATGAGCACATCTAAGCAAATACGACACTAGCACGGTACAGTGACGGAGCAGTTTTTTGTCTGCTGATGGCAATGTGGGCAGGAGGAAGCAGGTGCATGAAAGTGTGCGCGACACTTTCATACAATGATCATATTCCATTGGGAATTGGGATCCTCTGACAGAAACTTAGGACAGAAGATCAACAGTGATTGACTGCATACCTGTCTGAAAAGACATCGCTCTCCTCTTGGGAGGCTCGAGAGCATCGTGGAAGGCGCTGTAAAAGCTGGCTACAACTAGATGGAGATACTGATACTTGAGAAGGTTCTGGGACTGGGAGGGGATGTCGACCGAATCTAGTAGTACGCAACCTCGTCATGATGGACAACGGCACTAGGAGCCCAGCTTAGTCAGCATTCGTCCCTCTGAATTCTCAACTTGGTTAATTCTTGCGAGTCGGCGGCTCTGCAATGTTTCTTGAACTCTATAATGATCCTCCATATGGCAAATCCCCGACCCTAGCGGTCCTCAGGACTGAGATAAATTCTGTTGTGGTGAGTGCTAGTGATACATCACCCACATTCAGCTGAACTGAACGTCATGACCCAGAACTCACTTTCTGAGTCATCCAGTCGGCCAGACACAATGGTGTCTGTCCGATTGGAAGGTCTCATCGAATTTCTGCAATGTCTCTCCCTTGAAGATAGGAATGCATTGTCCAAGGGATTGGGCATTGATGCTAACACCAGTGGAGAGATGCCTGATGGTGAGTCACTTCCTTTTGATTCCTCGAGACTACCATAACTAACATACATTGTAGGTACCACTGAAACACCACTACCCATTCCCCCTGCGGTCTCCGATAATTCGCCTGCTACTCCTACCATTCCTACTTCCCCAGCTCCTACTGCGGCTGCTCCCACCATCTTGGTCAAGTTTGACGAGTATGACGACTCTGATGATGAAGACGCGGCCACTGCGGCCGCGGCACTTGCAGATGACTCCCTATTACAGTTTTACAATAGCACTTACTTCAATTTGCCCGCCACCAATGCTGAGGGACCCTTCTATTGTATCACCAGGGGTCGATACATTGGTGTCTTTTCAGGCTGGTGAGCTTTTTTATTTCGTGTTTCGTGTTCTAATACTAATTTCTTCGTTGCAGGGATGCTACTGGTCCAAAAGTGCTTGGCGTCTCCCGCGGTATCTTTCACAAGGTGGATAGTATTGAGAAAGGGATGAGCATCATGAGGAGCGCGATAGACCGTGGTGATGCCATCCAGGTATTGTAACTGTAGCATGTACTTAGTCATTGCTCAAACCTGCAGGCGCCGTACATAGCGGTGAAGTGTTGAAGTTCTCAACAAGACGTTTGGACCAGACCAATGTGACCGTGTCTTTGAAAGCAATTGTTAGGTGATTGAAAATGTAAATACATGCACGGTATGTATGTTAGATGTAGTTCTGGTACAGGAACCCCCCAAGGAAATGAATGACTGCTAACTCGGCATCTCCATCGCGGACTGCGTGACAGTAGATGTCTTCCACCATGGCGATGGTATCCTTCATGCTCCGGCAAACCTGGTCTGCAGCGCGCCACTCATCACAAACCCCGCATAGTTGAAGGATCCCGTCTTGACCTCGAGTAGCCCTGGTGAGGAAGTCCTCGATGCTTGATATGGCACGCTGGAAAATTTCTCTATCTCCGTGGCTTCCGGGAGCGTCGGGGAAAGATTTAGTGTACTCAGTGAAGACGCCTATTGTGAATATTTGCGGAGATTGTTGAATATGTTGCATGAAGTCGTCCTTCGCGTATTTGACTACTGCGATGCAGTCGGCCAATGTCTCTCTGATATCAATATTGTAAGCACGTCTACGACAATAATATTTAGCACTTACAATGATTCGTCATGATCATCATTGGCAGCGTGGTATATCTCCCTCCTTTTCGCGAGAATAGATTCACGGCACCTGTGTCTTTGATCAGCATTTGGGGTACTGGGGGGCTAACCAAACAGAAGTCGCATACCTGGCATAGTACCGAGATCGCTTTGCCCTCATAGCCTCGAGCTTAGCAGCAGCAGTTTTGGATTTGTTTGGAGGGGCCATAGGGTAGCAGTGAGGGATGGTGAAGCGTCTGGTAAGGAGAGAGAGAAAAGAGAAGTGTCTGGTAAGGAGAGAGAAACGAGAAGCTTCGATTCGTTGTCCCCCGTCTGGTAAGGAGAGAGTGGAAAGAGAAGCTTCGATTCATTGTCCCCACTTTTATCCCACTGCCTTGGACGCTGCAGGGAGGGCAATCAATCCCAAGACAAGACGCCGCTCTCCTCCTGGAAGGCTTGAGAGTACTTACCTGTATGACAAGACACCACTCTCCTCTTGGAAGGCTTGAGAGGCCATCAAAGTTGCTGAATATTGAGGGATCCTCCACCTTAGTGGGAGGCGCTGGAGCACTTGGGGGCACAGGACAAGCGCAGGAGGTTGTTTGACATAAGGTTGCCACATTGGGGGCGGAGCCTCGGAGGTTGCCACACACAACTTTAAGTAATCAGCCAATAGGTGCTCAGATACAGTTCGCGACTAATAGAAAACATGTCCCAACCACTGTGGTCTTCATGCAGACGTTCCGGATAATGATTTTTGAATTCCTCAGTGTTTGCCGGTTCTAGTGATACCAAGATCTCCCAGCATTCGAGCCAAGTAGACTCAACCGTTTGAATAACTAGACTAATTGTATGTACTTCCAATACACTCTTTGCACCTCTCTACTGTCTTTATGGGTCGAAAAGCTAAATATCTCACCCTCGCAGAGAAATCTGCTGCATTACACAAACAGAAGGCGAACTACACACAGTCCAAGAGGTACGTCGTTATAGTACAGTACATAGTCATCATTCTTGATCTCAACATTGTTGTCGGTAGGGGAATAGCTGCTCGCCGACTTCGACGTTCACAGAACTACGCCAAAGAACATAGCCGCAAAGGCTCGTCAAAGCCATCCCCAGTATCATCTCAGCTCCCACCCTTGCCTCAAGCTCTCATCAATCTTGCAACCACATCCCTTCCAGACAGTTATCTATATCGTTGTGCTTCTCAAAGTGCAGATAATCTGGATGAATCGGAGCTCCCACAATGGGACATTAATCCACCCTACGCTACACCTCATCCATCTGATACTGCTGCAGAGGCTCGCTTCACAGAAAACCTGGTGCAGGTCATGCACGGCCGTAACTCGCGCTTGGAGAAGGAACAGTTGCAACAACGTGCACAGAAGTACACTGCAGGAGGAATGAATGGTCTATGTACAGAGTTGAAAGAGGCTATTGGCACGCTGCTGGGACAGTGGTACGTATTACAAGACTATATCTCTGATGCAAAGGACTGTGATAGACACATCAAGATGGCTCGATGCCTCTTGCAATGGCGTGCGCGCACGATTTATCTCTATCACACCAAGGTTCAGAAGATGTTGAGTGGACTCAATCCATACATTTAGCTACACAATCAGAATGCAGGGATTGATAATACAAGTGTACGAAGGTAGTGACAAAATGCAGGCATATTATCTTCCTTCAAAGCCGTAGAGTGGCATCCACGCAATGTTGCTGCAATCATCGCAAGCACCCACACGCCGCAGTCATAGCCATTGGTCTGAACAGCCGTTGTCTGAGATTGAATCAGAACACATGTACATGTCCGATTTACGACGTACTTACTATTAGCGGACGTGCAATCCAACCGTCAAAGTCGATGTTGACTCTGAACGCACGATCATGTTGCCGAGCGATGTTGAAAAGTCGAACGATCAATTTCATAATATCCTAGACGTGTTGAGTCTGGATGAACGACAAAAGAGGGACTATAAATGGTGCTCACTTTGACATCGCTCTTCCAAGGTCGTTGCTCGGCAAAGCTATCAAATAGGTGAATCTCCTTGCTCTGGAGGTGCACAATGCACAGCACCCAATGACCGACAATCGAGGGTCTATGAATCGGTATGATCCACACGTCCTTGGCCCAATAACCCGTCCATGATATGTTGCGCCAAAGCCTGTCGTCTGACGCATTGTACCGAATGCAGGGGAGGTCGTGAGTGGACAAAATCGCATACTGTTCGACAGCGGGAGAAACTTGTAGAGACTCAGAATAAAGCAACGCTGCACAACCGTTGATGAGGGTATCGTTCAGCAGTGCAGTGGGCGATGCGAGGATCCCGATGTCCTTTGGTTCAAAAACTTGCTGTGGGAATGCATCACGGGCGGGACGCACCCTGGTTCTGATGATCCCAGGGACAACGACAGTAGTGTCATTCATTGGTGGTACTGGGTCAACAACAACTCGCTAAATAAACCATGAACACGCGAACATCTGCTAATGAAAGATTGCTTACCTCGGGAGTATGCCAGGTGATGAGAGCACAAGGCTCAGTTGGGATATCGATATCCTCTTCACCTTCGCTGTCAGGAGTGTCAATGTTCATGACGTCACCAAGGGCAAAGTGTTCGGGTGGAGGATGATTGAATGATGTAGCGATAACCTCTGGATCCTCTTTGCCCTCCTCCTCCACTTCCACTTCCACTTCCACTTCCTCCTCCTCCAGGAGAGTGGCGCATGATATCAATGTTTGAGGAATCCAGCGAAGCGCAGTTTCTTGGGAGGTGCCCGAGATCCGCATCGCTAACGATTCAGCATGTTTTGCACGGGATTCAAACCGTAATGATGATGCAAGTGGGTTAGACCAACGAATTTGAAGATGTTGGAGATGTCCCCGCCGCTGGCGTAGTAAGATAGAAAATCTGATATCTGTGAAGTAATTAGTGCATGTATTAAAGATGGATATCGACAATAGTACATACTCTCAGGCAACTGCAGAGCAAGTTCTATTGCAGCCAGTTCATCGCCAAACCACCTGCAAAGGTTGTCAGCTTCTAGCCCAAGCCGTCACTGTTCCTCAATGCATCTGTCACGCTTTAACATCGCGCGTATCCCATCACGGACATCCTGATCATCTAGCCAACTAGGAACCTCACCCGCCGAAGGCGTAATCCAAATGTCCTCCATCAATGTTTGATCGTTGCGGAGTTCATTCAGCTTGGTAGGGAGAGGTGTCGGGAGAGGAATACCACAACCTGGTTCATACAGTTCTTCAAGGCGCTCGCAGTATCCATTGAATTTACGTAGTGCAGCCAGCAAGGCTGGTTGTCGCTTTGAGATGGCCTTTCGGGTCTGCTGGTGAAGTTTGGTCCCTGCAAAGTGTGAACATGCGTTACCGAGCGAGTCTATCCACCTACCTAATGCTTGTTGTGTGCCGCCGACAGCACGATCGAGTTTGTCCCACTCGAAGAAGCTCCCAATTGCACACTTCCGGATGTTGATCTTCAGGTCCCGTGCCAAGAGAAGTGTGCGAACGAATTCGATGTTGATCCCTTCCAGCTCAGGGAATTTGTCGTGAATGTTGAGGGAAGCATATAAGACGTCAACCTTGTCCATGAGGCGTTGGTGACTTCGTTCCAGGCTCTCAATCGCGTCAAGTGTGCATCGGGATACATTTCCCTTTGAAATCACATCGCTCGTTGCTTGAAGTGCCTTCTCAGATGCATCGAGGTCACCCTGTAGGGCAAACACAGTTTCCAGCTCTTTTTTGAGCCGAGCAGGGGCGTCTGTAGAATACAGTGAGAGATGGACGATGAAAAGGAAATTGAACGAACGAGCGCGAATGGATAATTGTGACTGTCGCTGCAGAGCCCATTGATGTCGCAGATCTTCAACTGTTGCATCACACTCATCCAGTGTGGTCTGTGCAGCTGTCCCTTGTTCGTCAATCCCTCGTTTAAGTCGACGCCGGATCCAATCTCCAAGGTCAGCACGCATCTCAAGACCAATAGCGGCAGCCTGTCGGTCAAGAAGCCATAACCGACGCTGTCTCTATAGAAAACCGAACATCAGTAGAAATGAAACGAAAATTTGAGAATACTCACTGATGAAGAGCGCTGGATACCTATCAAGCGGATAAACCTGGACCATAGCCTCTCAGTGCCTTCTCCGTCTGAAAGGCCAAGGCCTTCGCATATTCGTGGGTTGTAAACGAGTTGGCACGACCATTCATGCCCGTAGGCATGCATGGCCGTGGTTGCGAATCGCAGGCGCTTCGTTACAGCTTCGGGAAGTATGTTGTACTTAAACGGATCAGCAACGAGGTTCGAAGAATCACGGAATTGACTCACCTGACTCAATGATCGTGAGAGAACACACCCCACGTCATACAGAGTGACAACCGTTGCGCTTCGAGGTAATAAAGTAAAAAGGTGATCAATAAGGGCGACGGCATATTTTTGCTGTTCGCCTGGAGTGTCGATGTTTGCAAAGAAGAGGGGAATGTCATGGCGACATATCAAAGCCATTATTCCTGTGTCGTCGAAGCTGTCCATGGCCGCTTTTTGTTTCATTCCGTCAGCGGCCTCGTATGAATTTTCGCATAAGTCGATGGCCTCATGGGGTACAAGCGGTGCATGCAGCTTTGGTGTGGACTTGCGACTCCGATTAATATGACGCCCAATGTCGTCAACCTGGGCTTTAGGTAAGAAGTAAGTGGGATCGTAAAAGTGAGGTGAGTCGCCTGCTGAACGCCGATGTCGATGATGGAAGTTCCCATCAGTAGCTACGTGGATATCGCCACCTTCTTCCAGCTTCCTTCCAAATGAGACCCCTCCAAAACAAGCAGGACAGCGTTGAAGAAGGATTGTGGCGCAGCGCTCACGTGGAACCACGTCTGCAGTGGGAATAAATGGTGCGGGGTGCTCCGGAGGATTTCGAGAGGCCTCTACCAGGTCTCGGCTTGCTTGAACAGCGCGTTCGAGCTGGGATTCGAGCTCGACCTGTAAGACGTCAAACCAAAGTATGGCTTGACCAAGACTTCGCCGGAAGGGTTCTTGAATAAATTCACCCTAAGTTTTGTAAGAATCGAAGGAGCTCAACACGGATTCACATACTTTGCCATTGGTCATATGAAAACCTCTACGGACGTAATGCGTGTGAAGGGCGGATGCGAGCGCATTTACAGCGTCACAGGAGCGCTCGAAAAGCGCGCGATAAAACGCGAGTAAGTCTGTAGAGACTGCCAGACGTGGCTGGGAGGGTGAAGTGGGGAACAAACCGTTCAGAATCAGGACTTGAGCTGCAGTAGCGCATCTGCAGCTCAAGACGTCGAGGGAGGTGAAACCTTGGAAATCATTAATGAATTGAAGCATTCAATAGCTAGGGACTTACTATCGAAAAATAGTCCAATCAAGGTCGTGCGCCTTTGTGCACATTTCTGGGAGCGACATGCAGACAAGACCGTTGAAGGCCGCTCGAGAATCTTGCCGACGGTCCTCTGAGTATACCCGAGTTGAACATCAACGAGTGTGGGTATCAGTGTTTTCCAGGTATCGTATAAGCGTGCGGCGGCGACATCAGGTAGAATTCGATGACTTTTGATACATTCAGAGGTGTTTAGTGGCGGAACAGATTCTTCAGGTTGGATAAATGGAAAAACTTCGTTTTCAATGAAGGAGTCCTCGTAAGCATCGGCGGGAGTGTTCTCGATATCAGGTGAGGTGGAAGTAGGTACTGAAGTGGTTGGTTCAGAACTTGAAGTTGAGTTTTCTGCGAGGAGGGCTGCTAACTTGGCTTGTAGTTTATCTTGCTTTGCTTTCTGCCCAGGCAGCTCGACTAACGTCTGGGTCTTGAGTTTGTTTCTGGGTTTCCGTGGACTGACGAATTGGGCGCCCAACCCAGATAACGTTGTGAGCTGGGCAGCACGTGTATTTGAGGGCCGGGGAGCCATAAAGATGAAGGTAGAACGCGAGTTGGACATTTTTATTTCTAAATGAAGGTAATAATACGGGACATTTTCATGTAAGTATGGGCTCAAGAGCAGCGCGAGGTATTGAGGCATCCTAAGTGCATGTGAGGCACGCGAGCAATCCAGTACTGTGAGGGCAACGAGGTGGTGGGGGAGGGCAACGAGGTGGCATCCTAGGTGCATGTGAGGCACGCGAGCATTCCAGTGGGAGGGCAACAAGGTGGTGGGGGAGGGCAACGAGTCATGATTTTATTTTTAGAACAGCCCTAAAATTAGATTGGCGAATCCTGGGCCTCTCAGGCCAGTTTCCCATAACATAGAAACCCGGCCTGAGAGGCTACCTTTTACCTCCGAAAACTACTGCCTGAGGTGTAATCGTGCTTGGTGTTGACAACACAAACTCTGGTCAGTTCACATCAAGTCTCGGCGTATTATACAAACGGTAGACCAAGCTGAGAAAGCTCACTCCTGCTACTGCCATGGGGATGGGCCATCAGATTGGAATGCTCAAAGCAGGTATGTGAGACTACTGTATAAGTTCGATTAAGAACTTAGGTTTCGGTTGGATTGCATGATATGATGCCGGTACATTATGCTCGCAGTTTGAATATATGAAAGCTCCGTCTAATTGTCTAATCGGAACTAGATACTGTGATTTGGTCCTCCCATCCACTCTCACTTGCTGCAACGCCCACTCGGGTCTATATTGATGGTATCCCTCAGCTCTCCCTTCCCGGTCGCCAAGGGGTCCACCACGTCCCCACGCACGCCCGATTTCGATTCTGAGAAGGTGGCAGCCGTCGCGCATGAGGGTATTCTCCCCATCTTGAACCTCGGAACGTAAAAGTGGCGTTATTCGTGAACGTCTCGAGGCTTTACATGAGAGGTGGAGGCTCGACTGGGGTGGCGCGTATTTCTGAGAAGGTGGGATCAGTGGGCGTGGAGATGGCCGAGCGGTGTGTGTTGATCAATGCTCGGATTTTGCAGAAGGGGCTGTCGATGTCGTGGACCTTGAAGGCGGCACGATCACACCTGGACTAACGAGCTTTGGCGCGCCGCTGGGGCTGGTGGAGATGAGGCTTGAGCCGAGCACGAACGATGGAAGCGTCTATAACCCTCTCGATGGGGATCTCCCTGCCATATTGGGCAACACGATCATGAGAGCACAAGACGGGCTCATGTTTGGTGGTCAGAATTTGCTGTGGGTATTCTTTTCATCTTGGGCCTGCATTTTTGAATTAACCTTTTGGATTGCAGGTTAGCCTATCGCGGTGGCGTCACAACGGCCATCACAGCGCCCTCCCGGACCTTCCTGCAGGGCGTATCTACTGCATTCTCACCTGGAGCTGCGTATGCGAACGTGGAAAATGCAAGCGTTGTTGATGAAGTCGCATTACATGTGGGCATAGGCATATCTTCAAGGATAGGTGTAAGTACACAGATAGCGGCACTTAGGAATATGTTGTTTGGGGAGGGTGGAGATAAGGTGCTCAGGAGAGTTAGAAAGGTTGGCTCAGCGTGCTTCTCCCGCATTGAATCAACACTGATATCTAGAATTAAGGGTAAAACCACGCTCGTTGTGGACGTTGAGAGTGCAGACATAATAGTGACGCTGCTTCGGCTCAAAGATGAGTACGAGGCCCATCTCCCGGGCCACCGCACGCACATTCAATGCGCTCCTTGGTTGGAATTGTGGTTATTGCTACATGAGCAACGTCATGTACGGCGTCTTATATGCCCTTTCACCCGAATTGTTTCCTACCAAAGATCGTGGAACTGGTAACGCGATCGTGGCCGCTGCAAATAGGATATTTGGCGTCATGGTGGGTTTATTTGTTGTTCACGGCAGTGCGTCTTGCTACTCTCTAATCTACCGCACAGGCCCTGATCATTGCTCTGTACGCGAACCTCACGACATCTGTGCCAATCTGAATTTCAGGAGCTATCTTCATCGTAATTGGTTTTATTGCTCTCTTGCTACCATTTGAACCCCATGGTCACGCATCCTTGTAACTAGTCAGTCATACATGCCTGGGCGAAATGGCTTCATGTCCAGCTTGATATTGCACCCTCGTCATCAACCTTGTAATACATATAAATGGAGCATGGAGTGCATAAGTGCGTCGTATTGTTTATTATAGGTAGGACGGAATCTCATATACAACTGGTGCTGCCCCAGTGAGATACTTGAGTTTGCATGCCTTTCGGGCTTGTGCAATTGCGGTGACTGCTGACATACCCTACTCTCCTCCACGAGTCGGAGTCAATCTCAGGGAGTCAAAAACTGCTTGTGAGAACTTGTCGATATCGCGGTCAGTTACATCCCAAAGATTCGCCACCAGTAAAGGGCTATGCACGATGGATGTTGAGCAGGGAGCATGGATAAAATGAACTTACGACGTACCATCCAGCAAGCATATAATTAAATGGGGTGCCTACTCTGTCAAAATCACCCATCTCCTTCAGTAACCCGCTGGAGCACCCCCACAGCATTGTCGTTGCACAGCGCGGCAAATGACGGATTTTGTGTGACCGCACGTATTGTTCTCCTCCGCCGTGTCCGAAGTACCTAAAATCATCAAGATTCGATGCAGCAATTAGTCAAGAGTCACTCACGCTACTAAATCTTTCCGCGCGAGGGCATCTAAGAACTGCTGTTCGCTTGGTGGTCGTCCAATGACTCCCTTCCAGCCTACACTCCGCATTTGCTCAAGCCATGCCGCCTTCAAGAACAAACGAGGGAAGGTAAACTCAACTCCAGTAGACGATCCCCACATGTTCCTCGTCCTGGACCACAATGTACAGGGCGTTCCTTGGGAATATATTCCGGTCTTGAGGAGCCAGAGTGTGGGCCGCATCCCGAGCGTTTCGTTCTTGCTTGATCGGGTTTGACTTGCGTCTGCTGAGAACCGATCAGGAGGTGTTGTTGATCGGACATCTGTGGATCCATGCAAGACATTCTTAGTGCTTGACCCTAGCGGAGACTTGAAAGGAACTGAGGGGCGATTCAAACCATGCTCCTCCAACGCGCAGCGAAGATCCACCATCACCTGATCTACATCTATATCTGCGACAGCGACTGGGATGCCCGTACGTTGACCGCGTTGCGTGTCCCTTGGTTGCTTAAGCGGATTATCTCAGCGAGCTCCTTTTTCCGCATCGTCAAACGTGAGGTGTTCCTCTCCGTCCGATTCGCGGCGGCCTTTGAGAGGCACACAGAACATCAACGGCTCAGAAGAAATATTCTGCCGAGAGATAAAGAGGGTACTCTTGTCAGGTGTGAGGCTGACATAGGCGGGAACTGTGACATGGCCGTATTCGATAGCAAGGAAGTGTCTAAAGATTGCTCTGCATACGTCTTGCGAATGGAATCCCAGTACGCCTTCATGCTTGCACTCGAGTCGTCGTCATCGTCAGATGCTTCCTCAGTGTTGGAGGTTCTCAAACACCGAAGATTAGAATGGTCTCTTCCGAGGCAGCGGGGAACCGCTGGGCGTCATAAAGGGCCATTCAAGGTCGTCGAATTGCACGCCGGGGAATTTATACTTGATAGCCTCTAGCATTTCACGGCGTAGAGTAATTGCAGATGACGCATCTAGTCCAGCGTCAAAATAGGCTCCATCAGGTAAATTGCAAGAAGGCACGCAGCAATAATGGGGGATGTCTGAAGTGCTTTGATGAGTGCAAGGTTTACAGTCGCTTCGTGGATGTGGGGGACGTTCCCCCGGTGCGCAGTAAGTCCAAGGTCAGCCCAAAAGAATTTCTCTGCTTGATCCAGAGTACTCGAGATATCTTGGATCGAAGGTGTAAGCGATACCGCTCGGTCGCTTGTCATGCTCGTCAGCAGTGCAATCGCTGTACACAAATAATGAGTTCTTGGTGGTTGGTATGTACACTATACCTACTAGATTCAGCCAAAGAGCTCAGAAACATATCCGAACGGAATTGGTCGTAGACGTTATGCAGGGTAAGTTTCCCCATAAGTGGATGCTCTTTTCCCTGTGAACGACTCAGCTATAAATCCGAAATCCATAACAAAGTCTCACCTTTATGTCTTGGGAAGTGGACAAAGCCATAAGACGCTCTATCAGATCCTTGATCTCAGCATCTCCATCATCGTGTAGTAAACAGACTGCAGTTTACCAGTTAGTAAGTTCAAGGTTTAAAAACAACGCTCCTTACTATGGCGACGGAGAATGTCAGACAACAAGGTAGGGACTATTGCTTTCTGTCCGGCGGCAGCTAAGGTAACTTGTGGTGAGAGCGTTACGCTGTATTTACGGCGACTAGAAAGTTTGATTAAAGGAAGTGCATTGAAACGCTAGCCAAGACTCTCGCCTGCCGTCGAAGGACCCCAACATTCCCTCGAGTTCACCAAGCATCGCACATGCCACCTCATAGAGGTCCCTTGCGTCCTGGGTTTGCTCATTCAAGCGATTCCAATCTCCATTCAGCCCTCTCATATCAGCTGCATCCACACCCGGCAGATCCTGTAGCAACTCCGCAGCCTCGACCAAGCAGTCCTTTCCTGCATCTAGCTGCCTCTGGTATAACTGGATCTCACCCATGCGCATCAGTGCACGAGCAACCATGGTCGGGGCATTAATGGACTCGGCGAGATCCTGTGTTTGCTTAGAAAGATACTCGACTTCGCGGGAAGAACCAAGAGTGAAGTAGGCATGAGTGAGAGTCAATAGGGTTGAAAGCAGTCCTTCAACCATTCGACACTCTATCCCGTCCATAAGACATTTCTGACTAGATAATTTCGAGTGGTCGTTGGACGAGTATCGCTGGAGGGTGACGATTCTGGAGGGGTAGCCTCGAATGGATATGAATCATCGGTTGCCTTGGTGGGTTTGGAGGAAGGCTAGCTTAATGGAGAAAGCGTGTCCACGGTACGATTCCACAGTCGCAATGATTGCGACATGTACTCTAAAGCACCGCCTGCGTTGTTCTGATGGAATCGAATCAGAAAACCACATGTGATGAACGACCGAACTACAGACCCTGGATTATTGGACAGCTGCGGAGACTCTGCAAGCCATCGCCGCACGCTCGAGCCGTCCAACACGCAGCCTTATGCGCTCAGCGGTCGGTAGAGCTTTTTCTTCGGGCGGAGAAGCTTCCGACAAACACATGGCTTCACAGTAGAAGGAAGCACTAAAGAGCAAGATTCCGCGCTCTTGTCTTGTTCGTTGTACGTACGTTCGCGACTCTTGTCGGCTTCTTCGCATGACTAGGTGATCGCATTAACTTGGGATCCGTTTCAATTGAAGAGTTAGGAATGACATCGCGTAAGATGTTGCACGCCTCCTCTACATGGTATGACGCGCTCGAAGTCATTGGTAATCCTGCGCTACGATACGCGAAGAGGCTTAACCAAAGATAAACTGCTGCGATGTACTTTGAGCGGAATACCACAAAGGCGGAGTCGTGCTCAAGATCCTGGAATGGAAAATTTATAATATACAGTTGCAGAACCCAGGCAAAGAAATACCTCAATGGTGAGCAGGTTTAAAACTTCTTCACCTAGGTGCTCCGCGGTCCAGGAAGTTTCTCTGCCGTTAGCATTAGCATTCCCATCCTTCTACAAGAGCTCCATGCATTTGAAGAGCACTCTAGCCCTGCGCAATGGAAGAACAGTAGCCTTGTACACCGATAGAGTATCTTGTAATAGCCCGCGCACAATAGTCTGCACACTATCCTTCCGAAGGCAATGTTCGAGAGTCGAAATCTGACGCTCGAGCAGCAGGCCTAGGACCTCGTCACTAATTACGCCTGGTTTCGGTGACCGGCGCACACTCAGGTTTACCAGTGGCGGAAGTAATGGTCGTAGTGACACTAACACTGGGCGGTATGGAGGCTGACTTCACTTGCAGGGAGAAAAAGTTCGCGCGTCACTGTGTACGTTAGTCTGTCAATTATCCCACCAAGCTGCTTGGTGCTTGCATTCGCGCTGAGAGCATTCGTGGACGTTGCTGACCTGGCCAGGCGCTCCAGACCGGACGAGCCATACGGAAATGCTTTTACGCTCTCCACAAAGGCGTCACACGCAAGTTGATAGTACCCAGGAATATTAGTGTTCTACTCCGGATAGGTAAGCAATGCAAAATGATCACCTTCCGGTCTCCAATCTTAGAACAGCATACTGCAAGAAGTTCCCACCCCCGAAACATCTGTTCTTCGATTCATTTCCACCCTTCGGCCCGTTCGCCATCTTCTGTGCCGTCCTGTATAAGACCCGCTCGTATGTGAAGTGCCCGTGCCCCGAGTGAACATTGTTCCTTCAGAAAACGCGCCGCGTCCCCATACTCGGAGCTTTGATGCAGCGCAGCGTGCCAGCCAGATTGTGATATGCCCCAGAGATGCAGCGGACGTAGTTGGCACGTGCGGAAGCCGGAATGGCATTCTCACATGGTCGGGGGTAGAGTCTAGAAGGATTGTGGTACGATTGAGGAGGTCGAGAGTGGGCGTATAAGTGTCAGGATCATTGCATTTAAGCCGTATGCACGCGAGGGAAAATAGTGAATCGAAGGATGTGGTCAAGATGTCCTTCCTTGGGTTCTGTGACGACAGTTGTCAATTTCGTCGTGAATGGGTTATAACGTCATAATAGTAATTGAATTATTTAGTGCTGCCGCAGGTCGGTCTGAACCTCGGTTCGAACCCGAACCTTTCCAAACCGGACTCAAGGTCCGGGGTCACAGGTCCGGCATGGCCCCGGGCTGGACTGAACTTGTATATTCCGGAAATTTGGAAAGGACCGTCCGTCCCGTCCGTACTGTCCGCATCGTCCTGGCCCAATTTGGCCATCCAGAAACGTTTTGGAATGCTGTTTCACAATTTCCGGAATTTATTGGAACTTCAATGGGAAAGTTCACAGCTGAACGTATGGTAACTTCAATGAACGTGCACTGACCGGCAGATTAAAAAATGGAATAGGCAGAGAAGAAGCATTTACGAAACGCCATATCCCCACAAAAAGTACCATACAACATAAAATTTAGTAATGATAAGATCCAGATAAGACATATTGATGTGCTTAAATTAAACGGAATAAACGGATTCAAACACACGCTACTACTAGTCAGGCTAGCGAATCGCGATGCCCGCTAAATTTCCCTTGTGTTTCTCACTCCCAAAACTTGCTTTGTTCAGTTCTCTGCGACACGGCCAGATCCACAGTAAGTTTTTTTAACTGAGATATCTTACATTGTATTGACACAGTATACGTACTAGATGTCGGACTACTCATCTCGGAATCCAGAATCAAATTATGGCCGCGATGACGATGACATCAACCACGACCGTATGGAAAGCCACAACGAATTCACCCCGACAAAGAAAAAGACTTCCAGCGTCTATTCAACCCTTCCTACTGGTCACTCGCAATCGGGATCACGGACTTCTTTTTCTTCACGAACCCGCGACGCATTCAATGAGCACTATTTCAAAATGTACCGCAAAGGATGCTATTGCATCCTCACGCTACAAGATGACACCAATCTTCTGCGTATGGCTCACGTCATTCGACGCAATAGCCCCCGCGAGATGGCAAGCGGTTCTATAGACTATGAGATGTGCGATGCTGACGTTTCTTTAGTTCTGCCTCTATGAATATTGCCTTGGCTTAAAGTATTCAGACTTTCATCATGATAGTAGACAAAACCTGCTCAATTGTAACCCACATTATATCTTTTGTGAGTCAAGGCTGATTTCAGTCCACAGTAGGTATCGAGGTGCATCATTCTTTCGATCAGAAATACTGGTTTTTTTTACCGGATATTCATGTGCTGCAAGACGTGCATGATTATGTCAAGACGATCATTTCATGGAGGGAAAGCACGTCATCTAGCAAGGCTCCTCTATCATTTTTAACAAAGGTATGTTACTCATGGTATTATTCACTATCGAAATACTCACTTTCGTGCAGTGGAAACTCGAAAAATTAACTCAATACACCCTAGTGGCCGTAATCTATACACCGCCGATTTCGAGGATAGAGCCAGGCCAGTCACCAATAACTCATACATATCCTTTCCCCGATTTCCCAACACTTGCATGTCATATTGCGCCTCCTTTTGCCGTCATAAACGCAGGGCCGAAGTGCAACCGAGATAAAATTGGTGAGATTGTTCAGGGACGCTTCCCGCAACCGACAGATGAGTCTAAAAAATTTGAACGGCGACTTACGCTGCTCTGCGATACTTGGGATCTTTTTCAGGGCGCCATGAGCGCCGCTCAGGCGTGGGGGATACAATGCAATAGAGAACAAAGGGCTCGTGAAAGAAAGAGGAAAGAGGCCGACTCAGATCAAATACCCATGCGCATCACAAGATCTAAATCACGCCTAAATCTCACCGGTACGCCGTCCTTCAACGCTCTCAACCCCCAAGCTCCACGACGACCAACTTCATACCCACCAGGCCATCTCAAACGCAATCTCTCATCCACATCAGACAGACTCACTTGTCAGGCGCTCGCACGTCACGGGAAACGACCAAAAATTGGGACATGTGGTTATGATGGCAGCTGGTCTCGAAGTGCAATCGCAGATTGGGCTAAGGATTCTTCCAGGGCCTCATCTCTACTAAATTCTGATGTCCTTGGATAATATCTTATATTTGCACATGTGACAGCATATACTCCATGATACAGCCT